AAAAAAAAAAAATACTAAAATAAAAAAAGTTCTAATTGTGAGATGAAAGATCATAATTAACTTTATTTTTTATTTTGTGGCAAAAACAAGCTCATATCAATTAAAAATGTACAACTTAATAAATCCACAACACAACACTTGTTTTCTGCAGAGAAACCAGCTCTTGATCCAAGCACCGCACAAAAGTGGACTCTATCAGTCAATGATATGGATGACGATGATGTGGTATGTAAAGATCGGTTTTGGCATCTGTCAATCTTGTGCCTTTTGTGTATCACCCACCACATTGTTCTACTCCTTCACTCTGAAGGATTTGATAGATTCAGATGCACTTTTGGATGCTGATGATCTGAAAAAGCCTGACCCGTCATCTCTCAAGGCTTCCTGTGGAGATGACTCCAACAAGAAAAAGAAGGCCTGCAAAAATTGGTGATTACCTTAAATGAAAGACCATATAAAGTTGAAAACAGTGTATCCATCTAATTACTAGAACTGTTCTTGGTCTGTAGCGCATGTGGTCTTGCTGAAGAATTGGAAAAGGGGAGTACAGCAACTCCAAAAGCCAGCCAGCCCAAATCAGCCTGTGGAAGTGTACGTATTTTTATAATTACATCGATTACTTTCTTTGTATAAATTATGACTTTGAAGTTTTGTATACATTGACACCTGACAATTCTTTCCTCTGTAGTGTTATCTGGGCGATGCCTTCCGATGTGCCAGTTGTCCATATGTAGGCATGCCTGCCTTCAAACCTGGAGAGAAGGTTCTGCTGGCCAACACTGATATAGCTGATGCATAGACACTCACTTTTTTTATTATTATTACATTCCGTTACCATTCTGCAACATTGAGGCCCAATTACATATCCATCTGTGTAATCAACAGGGATGCAGTTCAGAGTGTCATTTGACAATGTAATGCACTAAAGTTGCTGAAAAACTGAAACTGTTATGGCACTGTTTGGTTGTAAATGTCTCTTTTCAATCAGAAAATGGTCAAAAATATGAATAAATCTCTGCATTATATTATCACATCTTCATGTACAAGAAAGAAATATCCACGTCGAGTGTAATTTGTTTTGTTTGAAAATCCAAAGCAGCTGCTCGTGTGTTTTGCCTTCTATATAGAATACGGTGACTATTTTAAGCTAAAATCAAATGCTTAATAAAATTAGTTAAATAATACAGACTTTCGCCTAATTTTTATACTGCAAGACAACATTTCATATCACTACTTAAAACAGCATCATGAGACTTGTGTAGCACCATACAGTTTGATCCATCATAGTATGCAATCAGAATGAATCTCTGCACACGATACAAAGTTATAGCTCATAGCTAAATGCATTATAATTCATCCGATTGTTTAGAGAAGTCATATATAACTGAATATTATGAATAGGATAAAAAAAAAAAGTTACAAAAGCTCATGCAAGTTCA